CTAATAAAATGTCCAAAGCATAACCAGTGTACCCATTGCTCCTACCTGTCCATGTGGATGGGTCAACAATAGCATTTCCAATTCCTTGAACGCCTGGTAGGTCCTCCTTCATTTACAACAGAAATGGAATTTTGGACGAGGAAGACCTGAAGCTCCTTCCCCATCTCTCCTTCCTGATCCTGGTGTTTGATTTCCTGAATTTTATCTTTGTAGCCTCATGAGAAAACCTAGAAGAGAGACAACTCTAAACTATGTTCAGTCTTTATATAAACTATGTTCGGTCTATTTATACTGTAGTGTAAATAAAGATTCTAATTGGTACAATCTGTTTAGAAAACTCTTGGGCATTGTCCAGTAAAGTTGAAGATATGCATTCCTATGACCCAGCAATTCTGTCTCCAGGTTTGTGCCCTATAAAGATGTGTGCATGTGTGCACAAGGAGATAGATATGGGTGACGATGTTCGGGCAGGAGCCTCACACTGGGGAGGGCACAATGTCCACCAGCAGTTGAAAAGCTAAATGGGGCTAAACACATACGAGGGAGTACTGACAACAATGGGAAGGAATAAGCTACAGCTACATACAACAACGTGGAAGGACCTTCAAAACATAGCGTTGAGTAAAAGATGCCAGACGTAATAACAACATGCTTATGATCCATTTATATAAAGTTAGAAAACAGGCGTCATTAAGCTCTAAGATTTATGGACGCCTAACTTCCTAAAAGCAGTGGTTCTCAGACAGGGATGATCTTGTCCCATGCCCCCAGGGGACATTTGTCAATGTTTGGAGATATGGTCAGTTGTCCTAACTCAAGGAGGGAGATAATACTTACATCTGGTGGGTAGAGGCCAGGGCTGCTGCTAAACACCAGGATGCATAGAACAGCGTCACAGCAAAGAATTATCAGTATGGCTCCAAAAGTACAAGCAACAAAAGCAAAAATAAACAAGTGGGATTACATGAAACTAAAAAGCTTCTGCACAGCAAAAGAAATAATCAACAAAATGAAAAGGCAACCTACAGAATGGGAGAAAATATTTGCAAACCGTATATCTGATAAAGGGCTAATATACCAAAAAATATAAAGAACTCATACAACTCAATAGCAAATAGAAATAATGTGTGGACTTCAAATTGTTTAAGATTTAGGTTCCACTTATAAGTGAGATCATATGGTATTTGTCTTTCACCACCTGGAAAAATGCAAAAAAAAAAAAAAGAGTTATTTAAGATTGAACAGACCTCTTAGAGTTCTGCACAACCTTCTAGGTCTCTTCTTAAGTCTTGAATAAATGGACTGAGAACTGAAGAGGTGTATGATTCACTCTGAGGTTAATTTAAGAGCCTTCCAACATGGACTGATAATTTCTTTTCTTAAATGTTTTGTCCTGTCTTCCTTAACCTTTCAAACACAGAAAAAACAGCTCTTTTGCACTTGAAAATGTAACTGCAACTTAACGATGACAATTTAGCAAGAAGTATGCTAGCAGGCAGAAGTCATTTCTAAAATGTAAATAAAGCAGGTCCTCGAATAATGTTGTTTTGTTCAATGTCGTTCCATTTTGTTCTGATGTTGATGAGGAAAAAAATTGATTCCCACCGGAGCCACTGTCTGCGTGGGGTTTGCATGTTCTCCCCACATCTGTGTGTGTTTTCTCCGGGGACTCTGGTTTCGTTCCACGTTGCAAAGATGTGCCTGTGGGGGGAACTGTCGTGTCTACATTGTCGCAGTCTGTGTGAGCGTGGGCGTGGGCGTGAGGGGCCCTGGCAGCAAAGCGGAGCTGGCCAGGTGGGTCCTGCCCGCTGCCCCGAGCTGGCTCCTTGACCCTGAACTGGGCTCTACGGGTTGGAAAATCATTCTTTTACTTGTGTTTGTTCATCTTTCACACATGTGTGTGTAGCTCCCAGGTATTTCATTGTTTCCCATTAAGAGTGTTTGGATCTTTATTTAGAAATTTGGTGATGTTTTTGCGACAAGAACAATGCTGTAGGGACGTAACTCTTGTTGATATCAATTAGCCGATGGTCAAATTTGATTCATGATATATTGTTTCACTTAAAGCCACAGTTTCTAAGAACCTATGGATGACATAAAGCGAGGACTTACTATACACAGTTTGGGAATGATGGATTATTTTTGGCTTACGATAATGCCATTTAGTGACTCAATACACTTCCCAAAGACAGAATACAATCAAAATCTAAGACGACCCAATTTTAACATGGAGGCGACTTACTTAGGGGTAATGACCAAAGGACTAGGGTTAAGGTTTTTTTAATTCAAGGACCCACGTTGTATTGTTTATATATATTAATAACAAAAGAGATCTTGTAGGGAAAGGGATTTTAAGTTTCGAGAGCTTAACTGCAGGTATGACAGAGGAAGAAGTCCTAAGGCTGGAGGGTTCCTCTTTCCATCTAAATAGAGCAGAGGTCCCTGCAGTGGAACCATTTTGTAGACAGCCCTCCTTTGATGCCCCAGCTGCGTTCTGCGAAGGATGTGGTGCATGGTGAGGCTGGTGCTAGTGTCCACCTTATTCTAAGGGTCTTTAATACCAGCTTTAAAGGTTGCGTTCAGTGGCAGAGCAGAGTGAAAGTGGAGAGGGGACTTTACTGGGTCATTTTGCTTGCTCTGTCCTCCCACATGGCAGAGGAAAAGGCCTCGTGGGCAGGGCAGGCTGCTCGGAGAAAGAGACCCGGGCCCATGGTGAAATTGACTTTCCCTTAAGACAGGCCGCCCTCTGGGTGGAAGTTTTTGTTTTGGGCAGGGGACTGATTTTAGGTTTAGTGCGATTGTTTGCTTCTTGCCATTTAAAATGCACAGACCGAAGGGGATAAAGTGCCCAAATCTGAACCTGCCGCTCAGTGAGCTTTTCCATATGGGCGTGCTTGGGGAGCTGCGATGCAATTAAAGGCACAGAGCATTTCCGGCGCTCCAGAAGGTCCCCTGCATCCCTCTCCATCTTGGTAGGCACTGTTTTGGCTTCTATGACCGTAGATCATATTTACCTATTTCAGTTCGATATCTGAATGGAAATCCCAGAATAAATAAATGCAATCTTACAATATGTTTTCCTTTGTATCTGATTTCTTCCTCGCAACAGGATGTTTGTGAAAACAATCTCTCGTTGTATGCCTCAGTTCCATTTTTGTTTCATTGCCAAGGAGAATTCCATTGTGTGGATACACCACGGTTGGCTCATCGTGCACCAGTTCATGGACACTTAGATCGTTTTTATTTCGCTGATTCTGCCTGAAGATATTATAAACATTCTTGTACAAAGGAGGTCATTGGCCCCCATTTTTCTCTATATCTAGGAGTAGAATTGTTGGGTCAGAGGGTAAGCATTTGATCAATTTTAGTAGATATAATCTTAAAGTTCTCTAGCAGATGAACTGTCATGGGATTATGTAGCAGCAGATTCTTGAGGGTACCTGTACCCTAGGCTTGATATGCTTAGTCCTCTTTACAATTATGCAGCCAGGTGTCTTAAAATATTATATGCCAGTGGGTGGTCGGTCTAGCGGCTCAAACACAGGGGCCACGTCCTATTTTCCAACCCTCCCGCCCCCACAGAGCAAGTGGAGGGCAACCCTGAGGTGGAAGTTCAGTGAGGTGGAACCCTGAAGAATTGACACAAACTACCCAGAAATCCATCCTCCGCTTGATAGCCCCCGGTCTTGGGCTTGGATTGGTTGATTTCACCGGGACTGGAGTGTTCACTCTGGCTCCAGACTCTGCTTTTGTCTGGACTCAGCCTGCGGGAGGGTGCCCGGAAATCAGCGCTGCTATGCCTGGGGAGGGAGCCGGTGCTCTTCTCCACGGGGTTTGAAAGCACAGGTTTCCATCAGGGGACCGCAGGCCGGAGGCCCGTTTTAAGTGGTGCTGTGAACCTCTAGTGTGTGCTCACAATGATTTGGTTTACCCAGCAGCATTTGCAAATCGCGTCTGTTTCCAAATCCTTCCTATATCGTTTTCTGATTTGCTGCTAAGAACTAAGACACAGAAAGCAGCGCTTCGAGGACCCCGCCCCGCCCAACTCAGATCCAGCCTGGCACCAATGCCAGTCCTCACGTTCCAGCATACTTTTCGGGACTCCCCATTCCAGGGGGATTCCCCAGACATGCCTAGGTCCTGCAAGTTTCACCAAAGTGGCGCGGCGGGCGGCCACCCTCTAGCCCGGCCACCCGTCCCTTAGCAGTTCCCCCAGGCAGCGTTACTTGGCTCTTCTCAGGCCTGCCCTCTCTTAGGGCTCCCGCGGTTGAGACTTTCCCAAAGGAGGGCTTTCCGAACTCTGAAACTCCGCCCTCCGGGAAGCGGGTTCCCAAGTTAGTGAAAGTCTTTCTTGGAAACCCAAGCTCATTCTCTGGCTGGTGTTGAAGCCTTGCTCAGGGGCGGGGTGGTGGGAGGTAGGAGCCTCCGCGGCTCTGTCACCTGTCGTGGGCACGCTGGGTCGCTGTAGCCATCAACAGCTGGCGGCAGCAGCCGCGACGGGGACCCGTCAGGCGCGGAAGGACTTAAGCGTCCGCCCACCGCGACTGACTCCGCCGCTCCCTCCTCTCTCCCCCTTCTCCTCCTCCCTCCTCCCCTCCCCTCTCCTCGTCCTCCTGCTCTTCCCTCCTCCCCTCCTCCAACTCCTCCTCCTCTTCTAACTTCTCCTCCTCCTTATTCTCCTCCTCCTTCCCATTCGCCGCTGCCTCCTCCCTGTCCCTCCAGCTCCACGGCGGGACGCTGGTGCCCTGGGCACTTAGCACCGCGCTCGGGGCGCACGGAGCAGTGCTCACGGCCGGGGTCTGCCCGGCATGGCCGTAAAGTAAGGGGACCTCGGAGAGGCGCCGCGACCCCAGGCTGCACTCGGGGGCTCGCCGCTCTTCCTCGGTAGCGACATGGGGGACCCGGTGTACCGCAAGAAACCGCAGCTGCACTACGCGGTGAGTGTCCCGGAGCAAACAGGCGACAGGGGGCGCCACTTGGCCGGCCTGGGAGGGGACAGCTCATTTATGGTGGGATCCGTGGCTCCCCAGAGGTTTTCGGTGGTGTGGGGTGGAGTGGAGGGTGCTGCGTGCGTCACCCCCCACCCCACTGTCAGCTGCTCGGAAACTCAGCTGCCTCTTAGAAGGGGAGCCCGTACCCCCGGAGCCCGCGGTGGCCGCTGCGTCCGGGGCCAGGGGCTGAACCTTGCTACAGCCTCTCTGGTCAAGGCTGAGAAATGGGGCTCCCAGGGCTGGGCCCAGGTTGGCCCACTGAGCCTTTGGGCAGATAGGCTGCAAGAACGGGAACAGAGCGGGCTGGAAGGTAGAGCCGTTTCGTGATCCAAGCGAGTGGCGAGTGGACTCGCAGGAAAAATGCTGCCCGGTGCGTTGGGGTGCAGCCAGTTTCCTTAGAAAGAGGGTGTGCATTTCCCTCTGAATCTGCAGCGGGACGGAATGTTGCACATTATCTGGTTAATGCAAGAGGATGCCAGGAGGTCTTCTGTCGGTACCCTCTCTTCTCCCTGTTGTCTCAAATAGTCCATAAATATTTATTGGGGACCCACTGTGTTCCATGCACTGTGCTTCGCGCTGCGCCGGGGTCCCGCAGACCATAACAGACCAAAACCTCATAGGATTTGCTTCCTTTAAGGAAGGAGTCAAAATTTCGAGGTTAATGACTGATCGACCAAATCCAGCTTCTAGATTGTTTATTTTCGAGAGAGAGAAAAGAAAGAAGACAGAAAAGATCATTCTGAGGAATGAGTACTGAAAATTCCGAATGCCACCTCCAGGAAGCAAGCAGGGAGCCGTGTTAGCTTACTACAATCTTTGGGCATTTAGCTTCCAGTTGTAAGATGTGTCACTTTGAGACAGGACATTGCAGTTGGTCTGTCATCTGCTACTTTATTGAGTTTTCCTTGACATGATTTTCCCTGTTGAGATTGGACATGCTAAATGCCAAGTTTAAAAATCCTAGAGAAGCACGCAGAATGTTAAGAATCGTCAATACTTAAAATAAAGCAAAGACAGTTGTCTATCTGGAATTCGTGTCCTCCAAAATGAACTCTCCACATTAAAAAAAAAAAAAATTTCAAGAAAGGAGTTGAGCTGGCCAGGGGTGGTATGTACAGAGTTTCCGGAGCCGCCGTAGCTGGTGCGTGATGCTGCTGGCCAGGTCCTGGGTCAGCTGGGTCAGCTGGGTCAGCTGGATCAGTTCAGGGCCGTGGGGCTAACCAGGAAGGAATGTCTGTTGGTTCCCTTTGCTGGTCTGGCAAAAAGAGGTCCTGAATTAGAAAATCGTTAAGATCCCTTCCCAGGTGAACATTCTAGGAACCTATGTTTGTTCTTTCTCTAGTTTTGCCAGAGTTATATGCCTTCAAATGACAAGTGAGCTATGAGTAAGTTACTAATGCTTGGTCATTTTTGGGGGGACACCAGGGGCTCAGCGATTGTGCCTTTTAACATGGTGTTAGGGGTACCTTGTTTTCTGCAGAGGTTTCCTTGCACAGAAGGACCCAGAGCCTGTGCTCAGGATGCCTGTTCAGCCTCGCACTCCACCACCTTTTCCAGGTTTTGAAATTGTGGGCTGGTGCCCTTTACTTTGTAATATAACGTCTCTATACCATTTGTAAGATATGGAGGAAAGGTAAGAACTGACTCCTTAATTTTAAAGAGTAGAATCTGTCTGTTCATTCTATGAATGATTATTGCCTCGATTGTGCAAGTAAACCCAATACATCACAAAACTTAAACATTTAAAATTATTTCCATTCAGCTGTCTTATTCTCCTAGAAGCGTAAACTTAGAGACAAGTTCATGCTCATGTCTCCTGTTGTGCTCTGAAAGTTTGCTGATGAAATAGCCCTTTATTCTAGCATGGCTCACCACCTACATATTTTCTGAGTTAAGGCTATAAAAAGGAAGATTACAGAGGGAATGTGTTGGCTTTCAGGCTAGGAGAAATCACCTGGATGCGCTGAAGTTTCTTACGCATACTTTAGGGGATGATAAGGCAGCAGCATTCAGCAGCTCTGTATCAGTCACAAGTCAAAAGAATGTTCTTTATTAAGTGTGACCCGTTGCTTTTCATATTAACATAACCCTCTATGGCTTATTTCCTGTTCTAACACTTCACTCTTCTCTGCTACCCCCATTTTGGTTTAGGTTATTTCAAAAGCTTGTTTTGCCTTTTAGCACAAATATTCCTCTTAGTTCTTTGTTCAGCGCGGTTTTGCTCCTGGGGTCTTGGAGGCTTATTTTCCTTTTTATCCGCATCTTCCTGCCAAAGAATGACCGTCCATGTGTCCTTAGTACCTGTTGAGCCTCTAAAATATAATTGGAGCACAAATATTTAATGTCCTTCCTTTAGTGCTTTTTTCATTTGTCCAAGATGAGACTGCGTAGCAGAAAGCAGTGATTCACATTTTATTCATTCATCAAACATTTGTCGAATGCCTGCTGTGTGACAGCTATTGGGTCAACTTTCCAAAGAGATGAGCAAGTAGTGAAAATGTTGAGTTGCTGCGAACTGTTTTCCCACATTCAGTTTCTGGCGACTCCATCCTTCCAGCTGGGCGTCATCCTTGACAGCCTTTTGGTGTTTTGATCATATTTGCATTTGGAACAGGCCGCTCTGGACCCAGGGTGGAGTTGGGGCGAGGAGGAGCCGGAGTGTGTGCACCGTGGCGTCTGGGCCGGGGAGAGATAGTAGAAGATGACCTGCCGGGGATGGCGGCTGGGCTGGAGTGGAGAGCAGTCGGCATTTTTGAGAGCTGTTTAGCACGTGAGACCGGCCAGACTTTGTTTAGAGGGGCTCCGGAGATGCGAGAGTGTGAGGGCCTAGGACGATATGCATGAGTCAATGATTTCCCGGCAGCGGTTCTGGAGAAACTACAGATCATAGTATTTCTTTTATCTTTATTGTCATATGCAAGTTACAAAGTGTTCGGGCACAGCCTGAGTCAACGTTGGCCTCACATTCAGCCGGTGGGTTAGACAAGTTTTCTGTTTCATGGCTGAAGAGATGCAAGCTTGGTAGAGTTCAGCTTGGCACGGGTGACAGAATGGAGAGCTTTATTCAGGTGCCCTGAGCGCACAGAGTTTGACTGACTCCTTAGGTAACTGAAGTAGAAGAGCCGAGTGACCCTTCTCGTTCCCCCTTTTGTCACCATAATAAACCAACAATCAAATATGGTACCTTAAGTGCCTTCATGTGACTATCCATACTGCTGAATTATATGGCCAAATAGCTCTTTAACTGGACTGGTAGAGATAAAAAACGAATTTTAAAATCTCCATTAAGTTCAGTGCCATGTCTTTATGTCTTTCTCAGGTTTTCTCAGCTTCAGCAAAAAGAACATTTTGGGCAGGAGAGGTTTTTTTTTAAGATTTTATTTCTTTATTTTTAGATAGAGGGGAGGGAGGGAGAGAGGGAAACATCAATGTGTGGTTGCCTCTCATGCGCCCCCTACTGGGGACCCCGCCCACAGCCCAGGCTTGTGCCCTGACTGAGAATTGAACTGGAGAACTGTTAGTTTGCAGGTCGGTGCTCAATCCACTGAGCCACACCAGCCAGGGCCGGGCAGGATAGTTCTTAGCGGTGGAAAGGGCCCTGTGTAGTACAGTATATTTAGCAGTATCCTTGGCCTCTACCCACTAGATGCCAGTGGCATAGTGTCCCTCCGCCCCCTAGATGTGATGACCAAAATTGTGTCCACACGTTGCTAAATATCCCCTGGGGGAAAAATTGCCCTCACTTGAGACTCATTGGCCTCTTTGATTTTCATGCATGTTTTTAGGAAGACGTTACGATTGCTGTGTGGTAAGATGTGAAAAGAGAAGACATGGTAAATGCTCTGAGTACTACATACACTATTCTGTGAACAAGCAGAATGTCAGAGAGAGGCCAACACCAAGGTTTACCGAGGGCCTCAGACACATAAAGATTCATGCTGCTTTCAGTGATCACTTTAACAACCATCTCCTGCGTCTGGTGACCCCTAACAGGTCTCTTGGCCTGGTTACAGATGACATTCACCTGCCTTCCAGAACAGTCTTCATATGCTTTGTTCTCTGGACCGCAAACAAAATATTACAAACCTTGATTGTCTGCCAAGATCACGTGACTTATGTCGAACTTCATGACAATATATCCAATTAAGTATGGCAACACTTTCAGTAGAATTACTACACTGAGCATTAGTTTTAGAAGAAATGATCAGAGGACATTTGGAGCAGCTTATGAATGTTATTGTCCCGAGCAGCTTCCTGGAAGAACACACTTATTTTCACCTCTGTTCTATGAAAGGGGAACAATATGAAGCTTTCCTGATGTGCCTGGCAAAGAAAAATCTATGCGTGGGTGATGCATATTCTCTTCATTGAGGTGTAGTCAAGAAGCAGGGGCTCCCCCTGATTTGGCGCTGGTCTCCGTGGGGTCCAGCTGTCAAGATCCAGCCACTCTTGTCCCTGGGACCTGTCTATTTCTGTGCTCCTCTGTTGCTGACCTCACTTCCTGTTTGGTGCAGTCTCTCCGCCATCTGTGCTCTTAACCACAGCCTTGTCATTAAATGCTGATTGTTCCCTTGCTCTGCTCCCCGCCCCCCCACAAGGAACCCCTCGGAAGGGCTGAGTTGCTTACCCTGAAAGGGAGCCTCTCTTCACTCCAAACAGTTAGGTTTTAATATAAATGTTTCCAAATTTGTTCTCTATGCACATTGGATTCCCAAAGACTTTGAAGTCATTAAGTTCACTTCTGAATTCCTTGCTGTTGACTACTGGATACTCTTTGGTAATTCTGAAGACACCAAGAACTGGGCATTGTCGCAGGGCGGAGCTGATACGAATCAGCTGTCATCCATCAGCGCTGCCAGTGCAGACATCTTAGGGAATTGAGGAGCGTGGCCTGGAATTCACTTTTATCCTGTTTCCTTATTGTTTGTCTCCTCACAAAAGCAAGCATTTTGCAAGTTGCAAATAAATAACTTATTTACTTGTTAACTCCTCTTAATATTAATTAATATTAATGAAGAATTATATTAACATTAACTATTACTATAAGAAATTAACAGGTATCAATTATGATTATTAACTGCTCCAGTTAACACCCCTGGTACCATAGATACCTTTTGCACGCTCCACCACCCAGCGTGCTTTCTTTTCTGCTGCACTCAGAGCTTTTCCTAACCGTGTGGCCTCTTTGGTCTGAACTCCAAATCATTTAGGAAGCCACATCTCCCATCCTTCAGAACACTTCTAAAGCACCACGGCTCATTGATAAGTAATCACATTCCTGTTGGGCTTTGTGTAGCAGAGATACCTGCCAATCACAGAAAAACAAATACTTCCCTTTGTCTTTTTTTTTCTGGTCATAAGCTTGTATCATTTACTTTCCCTGTTCGGCGCGTTGCGATAACCCTGGACTTAATGCACTGGAGCCT